AAACACAGTCTAGCATACTATGCTTTGTCTTTCATGCTATGAAACCATCTTCACCTCTAAATCACATACCAGAAAATTACTCTTTCAAAATAAATAAAATGCAGTTTCATCTACAATCACAGACAGTTTTTTACTAGGAAAATTTGATAATCAATAATCCCTAAATCATTGGAAAAGAAGACCCTGCTAATGTTTATCTCGGTCAAAGGACTACTGCAAATTCTTGATAATATGTGGCAAAGGTTGATTTATATAAATAAACAAGGTTTTCTGCAATTTGTATTGTAGAATTTAAGGTTAATTCAAAGATCCAAAGATTCACTGAAATATTACCATGGCATCATTCTCATCCCTAGATCTAATCCCTAACATCTTTTTGATGTTAACAAGTAACACTGGCAGACATTTGGAATCAGGAACATTGAGGTTATGATTCACTTAGGCTGTACAGGTGTGACCTCCATACCTTCAGTCTACTTCAGACCCACTTTTCCTAGAGCACTATATATATGTTGCTAAGGGTAATTGATAGAATAAAGTTAATACTTTTTAATAGGTTTTTGGAGTGTTGGTGGGGGTTTGGAGCCAACAACCAAGAAAGAATTCTTGAAGACATCTTTGGTACAAAAAGGCAGTTTTATTAAAGCACTGGGACAGGACCCTGGGCAGGAAGAGCTGAACTGGGGTTGTGCAGAGTGGCTGCTTATACTGTGGAGTTGGGGGAGGTAAAGTCAAGAGGAAGTTTCTTAAAGGGATTTCCATACGCTAAAGAGGATTTACAGATTACTAGAGACCTGGGTATTGTCAAGCTAAGGTTGATTTTTCCTCTTGCAAAACATTATCATTAAGATAGTAGGGAGTTCCTGGAGATGAATCTATTGAGAAGATTATCCCTTTCTTATAATATTACTAACATATTTGTAAACTGATGAAGACTATCAGATTAACCATTTGTTTTCTGGGGATGGGGGATTGTGCTACCTTGTACTTGGCCCTCACCTTGCCTTATGGTCCCTTATCACTTTTTTGCTTCTCTTTCTCCAGTGTGAGTTCTTGCTCAATGAAGCCGCTGTCAAAATTTCCTAAAATATTTTTCTCAAAACTAAGTTTTGTGTTTGTATGGCTCTGTTGACATGCATGAGGAATTTCTGCTGGAGACAAAAATGTTTCAAAAAATTGAATAAACCAAAAAGTAGAATATAATTTGGTTCTAAGTTCATTCTGACTTGTCATTCCAAAATGATCTTGTAAATACTTGGAAATGGAGACTTGGCCCTATTTTGGATAAGTTCTGGGGATTTTAATTTATTAAAAAAATGCATATTTCACATTTATCTGACATTTATATTACTTCATTGACACAACTAGATACCTCAATTAGAAATTTCTAATAAGCTGTCAGATGTTTTTTTTTTCTATCTTTCATAAACTTTCAACTTAATAAAGAAGATAATTTTCTTTTATTTATTTATTTATTTATTTATTTATTTATTTATTTATTTAAATTTATTGTCAAATTGGTTTCCATACAACACCCAGTGCTCATCCCAAAAGGTGCCCTCCTCAATACCCATCACACCCCCTCCCCTCCCTCCCACCCCCCATCAACCCTCAGTTTGTTCTCAGTTTTTAAGAGTCTCTTATGCTTTGGCTCTCTCCCACTCTAACCTCTTTTTTTTTTTCCTTCCCCTCCCCCATGAGTTTCTGTTAAGTTTCTCAGGATCCACATAAGAGTGAAAACATATGGTATCTGTCTTTCTCTGTATGGCTTATTTCACTTAGCATCACACTCTCCAGTTCCATCCACATTGCTACAAAGGGCCATATTTCATTCTTTCTCACTGCCACATAGTACTCCATTGTGCATATAAACCACAATTTCTTTATCCATTCATCAGTTGATGGACATTTAGGCTCTTTCCATAAGTTGGCTATTGTTGAGAGTGCTGCTATAAACGTTGGGGTACAAGTGCCCCTATGCATCAGTACTCCTGTATCCCTTGGGTAAATTCCCAGCAGTGCTATTGCTGGGTCATAGGGAAGATCTATTTTTAATTTTCTGAGGAACCTCCACACTGCTTTCCAGAACGGCTGCACCAATTTGCATTCCTACCAACAGTGCAAGAGGGTTCTCATTTCTCCACATGCTCTCCAGCATCTATAGTCTCCTGATTTGTTCATTTTGACCACTCTGACTGGCGTGAGGTGATATCTGAGTGTGGTTTTGATTTATATTTCCCTGATGAGGAGCGACGTTGAGCATCTTTTCATGTGCCTGTTGGCCATCCGGATGTCTTCTTTAGAGAAGTGTCTATTCATGTTTTCTCCCCATTTCTTCACTGGATTATTTGTTTTTCGGGTGTGGAGTTTGGTGAGCTCTTTATAGATTTTGGATACTAGCGCTTTGTCCGATATGTCATTTGCAAATATCTTTCCCATTCCGTTGGTTCCATTTTGTTGGTTGTTTCCTTTGCTGTACAGAAGCTTTTTATCTTCATAAGGTCCCAGTCATTCCTTTTTGCTTTTAATTCCCTTGCCTTTGGGGATGTGTCGAGTAAGAGATTGCTACGGCTGAGGTCAGAGAGGTCTTTTCCTGCTTTCTCCTCTAAGGTTTTGATGGTTTCCTGTCTCCCATTCAGGTCATTTATCCATTTTGAGTTTATTTTTGTGAATGGTGTGAGAAAGTGGTCTAGTTTCAACCTTCTGCATGTTGCTGTCCAGTTCTCCCAGCACCATTTGTTAAAGAGACTGTCCTTTTTCCATTGGATGTTCTTTCCTGCTTTGTCAAAGATGAGTTGGCCATACGTTTGTGGGTCTAGTTCTGGGGTTTCTATTCTATTCCATTGGTCTCTGTGTCTGTTTTTGTGCCAATACCATGCTGTCTTGATGATGACAGCTTTGTAGTAGAGGCTAAAGTCTGGGATTGTGATGCCTCCTGCTTTGGTCTTCTTCTTCAAAATTCCTTTGGCTATTCGGGGCCTTTTGTGGTTCCATATGAATTTTAGGATTGCTTGTTCTAGTTTCTAGAAGAATGCTGGTGCAGTGTTGATTGGGATTGCATTGAATGTGTAGATAGCTTTGGGTAGTATTGACATTTTGTAATATTTGTTCTTCCAATCCATGAGCACAGAATGTTTTTCCATTTCTTTATATCTTCTTCAATTTCCTTCATAAGCTTTCTATAGTTTTCAGCATACAGATCCTTTACATCTTTGGTTAGATTTATTCCTAGGTATTTTATGCTTCTTGGTGCAATTGTGAATGGGATCAGTTTCTTTATTTGTCTTTCTGTTGCTTCATTATTAGTGTATAAGAATGCAACTGATTTCTGTACATTGATTTTGTATCCTGCAACTTTGCTGAATTCATGTATCAGTTCTAGCAGACTTTTGGTGGAGTCTGTCGGATTTTCCATGTATAATATCATGTCATCTGCAAAAAGTGAAAGCTTAACTTCATCTTTGCCAATTTTTATGCCTTTGATTTCCTTTTGTTGTCTGATTGCTGATGCTAGAACTTCCAGCACTATGTTAAACAACAGCGGTGAGAGTGGACATCCCTGTCATGTTCCTGATCTCAGGGAAAAAGCTCTCAGTTTTTCCCCATTGAGGATGATGTTAGCTGTGGGCTTTTCATAAATGGCTTTTATGATGTTTAGGTATGTTTCTTCTATTCTGACTTTCTCGAGGGTTTTTATTAAGAAAGTTGTTGAATTTTGTCAAATGCCTTTTCTGCATCGATTGACAGGATCATGTGGTTCTTATCTTTTCTTTTATTAATGTGATGTATCACGTTGATTGATTTGTGAATGTAAACCAGCCCTGAATCCCAGGAATGAATCCCACTTGATCATGGTGAATAATTCTTTTTATATTTTGTTGAATTCGATTTGCTAGTATCTTATTGAGAATTTTTGCATCGATATTCATCAGGGATATTGGCCTGTAGTTCTCTTTTTTTACTGGGTCTCTGTCTGGTTTAGGAATCAAAGTAATACTGGCTTCATAGAATGAGTCTGGAAGTTTTCCTTCCCTTTCTATTTTTTGGAATAGCTTGGTAACAATAGGTATTATCTCTGCTTTAAACGTCTGGTGGAACTCCCCTGGGAAGCCATCTGGTCCTGGACTCATATGTTTGGAAGTGTGTGGGTGTTTAGGAATTTGTTCATTTCTTCCAGGTTTCCGGGTTGTTGGCATATAATTTTTCATAGTATTCCCTGATAATTGCTTGTATGTCTGAGGGATTGGTTGCAATCATTTCATTTTCATTCATGATTATATCTCTTTGGGTCATCTCCCTTTTCTTTTTGACAAGCCTGGCTAGAGATTTATCAATTTTGTTTATGTTTTCAAAAAACCAACTCTTGGTTTCTTTGATCTGCTCTACAGTTTTTTTTTTAGATTCTATATTGTTCATTTCTGCTCTGATATTTATTATTTCTCTTCTTCTGCTGGGTTTAGGCTGTCTTTGCTGTTCTGCTTGTATTTCCTTTAGGTGTGCTGTTAAATTTTGTTTTTGGGATTTTTCTTGTTTCTTGAGATAGGCCTGGATTGCAATGTATTTTCCTCTCAGGACTGCCTTCGCTGCATCCCAAAGCATTTGGATTGTTGTTTTTTCATTTCCGTTTGTTTCCATACATTTTTTAATGTCTTCTCGAATTGCCTGGTTGACCCACTCATTCGTTAGTAGGGTGTTCTTTAACCTCCATGCTTTTGGAGGTTTTCCAGACTTTTCCTGTGGTTGATTTCAAGCTTCATAGCATTGTGGTCTGAAAGTATGCATGGTATGATTTCAATTCTTGTATACTTATGAAGGGCTGTTTTGTGACCCAGTATGTGATCGATCTTGGAGAATGTTCCATGTGCACTCGAGAAGAAAGTCTACTCTGTTGCTTTGGGATGCAGAGTTCTAAATATATCTGCCAAGTCCATCTGATCCAATGTATCATTCAGGGCCCTTGTTTCTTTATTGACCGTGTGTCTAGATGATCTGTCCATTTCTGTGAGTGGAGTGTTAAAGTCCCCTTCAATTACCACATTCTTATCAATAAGGTTGCTTATGTTTGTGAGTAATTGTTTTATATACTTGGGGGCTCCTGTATTCGACACATAGACATTTATAATTGTTAGTACTTCTTGATGGATAGACCCTGTGATTATTATATAATGCCCTTCTTCATCTCTTGTTACAGCCTTTAATTTAAAGTCTAGTTTGTCTGATATAAGTATGGCTACTCCAGCTTTCTTTTGACTTCCAGTAGCATGATAAATAGTTCTCCATCCCCTCACTTTCAATCTGAAGTTGTCCTCAGGTCTAAAATGAGTCTCTTGTAGACAGCAAATAGATGGGTCTTGTTTTTTTTTTTTTTTTAATCCATTCTGATACCCTGTGTCTTTTGGTTGGAATATTTAGTCCATTTACGTTCAGTGTTATTATAGAAAGTTATGGGTTTAGAGTCATTGTGATGTCCGTAGGTTTCATGCTTGTAGCCATGTCTCTGGTACTTTGTCTCACACGATCCCCCTTAGGATCTCTTGTAGGGCTGGTTTAGTGGTGACAAATTCTTTCAGTTTTTGTTTGTTTGGGAAGACCTTTATCTCCCTTCTATTCTAAATGACAGACTTGCTGGATAAAGGTTTCTCGGCTGCATACTTTTTCTGGTCATCATATTGAATATCTCCTTCCATTCCTTTCTGGCCTGCCAAGTTTCAGTAGAGATATCGGTCACGAGTCATATAGGTCTCCCTTTATATGTTAGAGCACGTTTATCCCTAGCTGCTTTCAGAATTTTCTCTTTATCCTTGTATTTTGCCAGTTTCACTATGATGTGTTGTGCAGAAGATCGATTCAAGTTACGTCTGAAGGGAGTTCTCTGTGCCTCTTGGATTTCAATGCCTTTTTCCTTCCCTAGTTCAGGGAAGTTCTCAGCTATTATTTCTTCAAGTACACTTTCAGCACCTTTCCCTCTCTCTTCCTCCTCTGGAATACCAATTATGTGTAGATTATTTCTCTTTAGTGCATCACTTAGTTCTCTAATTTTCCCCTTATACTCCTGGATTTTTTTATCTCTCTTTTTCTCAGCTTCCTCTTTTTCTATAATTTTATCTTCTAGTTCACCTATTATCTCCTCTGCCTCTTCAATCTGAGCCATGGTCGTCTCTATTTTATTTTGCAGTTCATTTATAGCATTTTTAGCTCCTCTTGACTGTTCCTTAGTCCCTTGATCTCTGTAGCAATAGATTCTCTGCTGTCTTCTATATTGTTTTCAAGCCCAACGATTAATTTTATGACTATTATTCTAAATTCTCTTTCTGTTATATTGTTTAAATCTTTGTGATCAGTTTGTTAGCTGTTGTTATTTCCTGGAAGTGTTTTTGAGGAGAATTCTTCCGTTTGGTCATTTTGGATAGTCCCTGGAGTGGTGTGGAACTGAGGGTCACTTCCCCTGTGCTGTCTTGAAAAAACTTGCGTTGGTGGGTGGGGCGCAGTCAGACCTGATGTCTGCCCCCAGCGCACCGCTGGGGCCACAGTCAGACTGGTGTGTACCTTCTCTTCCCCTCTCCTGGGGCGGGATTCACTGTGGGGTGGTGTGGCCCGTCTGTGCTACTTGCACATTGCCAGGCTTGTGGTGCTGAGGATCTGGCGTATTAGCTGGGGTGGATCGGCAAGGTGCACAGGGGCGGGAGTGGCAGGCTCAGCTTGCTTTTCCTTCAAGATCCCCTTCAGGAGGGGCCCTGTGGCAGTGGGAGGGAGTCAGTCCTGCAGGAGGGATGGATCCGCATAAGCACAGCGTTGGGTGTTTGTGCGGTGCAAGCAAGTTCCCTGGTAGGAACTGGTTCCCTTTGGGATATTGGCTGGAGGATGGGCGAGGGAGATGGCACTGGCGAGCACCTTTGTTCCCCACCAAGCTGAGCTCTGTCGTCCGGGGCTCAACAACTCTACCTCCCGTTGTCCTCCAGCCCTCCCACTCTCTGAGCAGAGCTGTTAACTTATAACTTTCCAGATATTAAGTCCTGCTTGCTGTCAGAACACACTCCCTCCGGCCCCTCTGCTTTTGCAAGGCAGACTGGGGGTCTCTGCTTGGCCGGCAGGCTGCCCCTCCGCCCCAGCTCCCTCCTGCCAGTCCGTGTAGCGCGCACCGCCTTGCCGCCCTTCCTACCCTCTTCCGTGGGCCTCTCATCTGCGCGTGGCTCCAGAGAATCCATTTGCTGGTCTTCTGGCAGTTTTCTGGGTTATTTAATCAGGTGTAGGTGGAATCTAAGTGATCAGTAGGACGCGGTGAGCCCAGTGTCCTCCTACGCCCCCATCTTCCCCTTGGAATCTCCAAGAAGATAATTTTCTATACCAAATGTTTACACATTTAGATACCATTTTGGGGAAATGTTGCATTTGTAAACTCTCATGGATCCATGAATGATGGATGTTATTAACACACAAAACTTTTTTTATGACTATTTATTTATTTTGAGGGAGAGAGAGAACAAGAGTGAGTTCGCTGGGGTAGGGGCTGAAAGAGAGGAAGAGAGAGAGAGAGAATCCCAAGCAGGCTCCACATTGTCAGCCCAAAGCCCTATGTGGGGCTTGATCTTACAAAATGTGAAATCTTGATCTGAGCTGGGGTCAACAGATACTCAAACAGTTGAGCCACCCAAGCACCCCTAACCCATAAGCCTTTTGAAAACTTCAGACCAGTGGCTTACTGATTCCAAACACTCCTTTTTTATTTGTCTATATAACTGTGTTCATGCAACTAATTTTCGAAGAACATTCTGTATTCTCACTTAGCTTCTTCCATCCTGCAGGCTCAATTTTAATTTTACCTTTTCAGATTGCATAATATTTCATCTACCTAAACTCACAATGGCACAATCTTTCTTTGTTGTCTGAGCCATTCTATTTATCTTTAACATTTAAATCAAGAGCTGTGGAATAAAATTGACTTGAAGTTTGAGTCTAAGTACTTTGACTCACTGCTGTGTGAACATGGACTTTTAAATCCTCTGTTCCCTCTTTTGTAAAATGGTGGTAGTAATACTTATTTGAGAATACGTGTGTTTATGTATTGGGGTACCTGGGTGTCTCAGTTGGTTGACTGTCAGACTATTGATTTCAGCTCAGGTCATGATCCCAACTTGGCTCTTTGCTGAGCAAGGAGCCTACTTAAGATTCTCTCTCTTAATGGATGCCTCATTTGGATAAACATCAGGTCATGATCACACAGTTAATGGGTTCAAGCCCCACATCGGACTCTGCTGTCAGCATGGAGCCCATTTCAGATCCTTTGTCCCCTTCTTTCTCTGCACCTCCCCAACCCATACTCTCTCTCTCAAAAATAAATAAGCATTAAAAAAAAAAAAACAAAAAGATTCTCTCTCCCCTTGCCCTTCTCTCTCTAAAGTATTTTTTTTTTAAATATGATGGTATATATAAAGGATTTAGCACAATTCCTGGGCCATAGAAAACAATAAATGTTGCCTTATCATCATGACTGATAGTCTGGTTTTACCATAGTTGGAATAATTTAAGGGCCTCTCTTTTTAGTATTCAGACTAAGACTCTAAGATCTCTATCTTGTTTATATCAGATTGTCTTCCTTTGTTTCTTAGCACACCTCCGCCCTTAAATAGCTTTTACACTATGTATAACCACTTTAAAGAGGAGAGTTTCCAACTTCCTGTAGGTTTTGCCTGAAATGTACCCTTCCCTGGTATTAGAGAATAGTGATAGTTTCCGTCAGTCAGTCATGAGGCCCAACAGTTTCCACTAATGATACTTAAAATTTCTTGAGAACAAAAGCTTATGTTGTAACATTTTTAGAAAGTTGTGCTACTTAACTTTATATTTGTAATTTGTAGCTTTCTACCCAGCCAGTCTGTAATAAAAGTGATATCCCACAACCCCCCATTATCTGGCAGATAGTAGTTGTACAATAAATATTTTCTTTTCATGATCATCAGCCTGAAAACAAGGGCTTTCTTTACTTTTACTTTCCATCTCTTCCAGTGCTTTCTCTCCAGTGAAGTTGTTAATAAGAAATGAAATGCCCAAAGCCAGGATTCAGAGGACAGTAGCCTAGGGCTTGGATAAGACATAATGCAGAGAAGAAAGCCCAATTCACAACTGGGCTTCTTTCCAATATGACTCAGCTTCCATTTTATTTATTGACTCTGAGTTAGGATGGAATTCTACCTTAGAAATACTTCAACTTTTAAGGATAAAGTGGTAGTATATATATTTTTCTTTCAACCTCAATATTCATCCTCACAGGTAAATTCTGTTTTCCACTGTGACATGAAGACAACAGAATACTTGTTCACATATCATTGATTGTGGGCAGAGTCTTTGCCAGTCTAACAGTAGTTGTCAGAGATAAAGTTCCAATTATAAAACAAACACATAAAAAAGAATTTTTGTTGAATTAAACTGCCATGCTACCAAAAGTCATTTAAAACACTATTGAAAAACAAAACCACCTAGTTAGGTTTTACTTAGAAGAAGGGAGAGGGAGAAAGAGTTAAAACAGTTTGGCGGCCTGCTATTTTTTTCCTATAAAGTCATAAAGCTTAATTCAAAAATTTTCTGGAATTTATAGTGCCAGAGGCTAAGCTAAAAATAATTTCCCCTCATTAGATCTTGTAGTTTAACCTCTGAAGTGGAAGGTTTGTGACAGCTACATCAAGACTCCAACTCACAAAAGCACCATTCAAAAAGGAAAAGAATAAAGAGGAACTGTTGCTATTAAATGACCCATAGAGAATCCAGGAGACAAAGAAGACTATTTCTGTCACTTTCTGGGACCAAGCATAGGGTTGCTGGGCTGTTCCAGGTGGATCACTTCTGTCAGCTCTAAAGGTATCATGTGCTAAATGAGCATGAAATTTTATCTGGGAGCAAAGCCTTGGAAGTTAAACTTGACTAGACAATGACAGGAATCTAAGGAGAAAAAAAGCAGCCAAGGGTTTGCTCAATAACCCCAGTGAAAATTAATAATCAGTAATTGTCTCTCTATCTCCTTTCCCAAACACTGAACAGAGCTTTTGTATTGTGCCTATAGAATGGAGAAAAAGAAAGCCAAAAAGACTTGAACTCCAGACTACTCTTGAAATCTGGGACTAATGTTAAGGGGTGGGTTTAATTTCTGAAATAAAGACTTCTAGATTTTAGTATTGTGTTTTTATTTCTATTTTTATTTTTGTATTTCTTTAACTTCATGATCCACCTGGTAAAATACTTATTACGTTATTTTAGTCTCCCCATTTTTATTGGATAACAGATTCTGATATTCTTTGTGATCTGCTCAGTCATGTTTGTGATCATGTCAATAATAGGGGAAGAAGAGATGAGGACCAGTGTATTGGCTGAATTCAATCAGGTGAACAGAGCCCCTTTGAGTAATGTAGAATAAAAGACTATGATAAGGATTAGGCCAACTACAGTTGTGGCAGTTTTTTTTTAAACTTGTGGAAATTGCCTCTTTGGTGGGAAACTAAAGATGCCACAAATCCACAAAATCAGTTGTTGGGAAGACAACATGGACATAAAATTGGGGAAAGTGAGGACACATTGGAATTTGTGAGGATGAATTGAACTAGCATCTGCCTCTCAAGGCTTTCAGTCTTAATGATGTGGGCAACCTGCAAAAGGCACTGGCACTCTTTCCTCTGGCCCAGGACTCAGAAAAACTGAAAGAGAGTCCTATTGGAAACTGGAGGAGATGTGGGTCCTGATGCTGCCTCATGCCAACAAGGTGAGCCAACAGATTAATAGAGATGAATGGCATCCACAAGAGCTCCTGACCCAATATCTTTATTCAGAGAAAAATGGCTTCTGCTTTACTTCTGCACATTTCTCTTAGAGTCAACAGTAACCTAGAACTATACAGGCAAGGATTCTAGGAAACATAATTCTAGCTTAGCTATGTAGATGCTATTAAAAAACTGTTATGACACATATTTATTCACTACCATGATTTCCGGGCACTGTACCAATTTTTATCCCATTTAAATACTCCCATGAGAGGGGTGCCTGGGTGGCTTCGTCGGTTAAGCATCTGACTGTTGATTTTGGCTCAGGTCATGACCTCATGGTTTGTGAGATGGAGCCCCATGCATCAGGCTCTGCACTGACCATGGAGCATGCTTAAGGATTCTCTCTGTCTCCCTCTCTTTCTGTCTCTACCCCTTCTCTCTTTCAAAATGACTAAATAAACTTAAAAGAATAAAAAATATGAGAAAGTATTTCATCCTTGAGAAATCTGATGTTACATAGGTCAATGAACCTTTCTAAAACTTCTAGAAACTGAGAGAGAGAGATCAGATTTTAAATTAAGACCAAGTATTTTGACTTCAGCTAATGATTAATCCTTAGGTTTTCCTTTGTTAACATTATACCATCCACAAATGAATACTTTTTTACACTGTATATCAGTCAGGGTTCCAGGAAGAAGCACATGGCATTGCCCATCCTAGGTTATTTGAGAGAGCTTAATAAAGGAACTATTTGGAAAGATTTTTCATCAGGGATGAGGAAAAAATAGTAAATTCCCCAGTACTAGCAACTTCCTGACTACTAGCAGAAAGTTACTACAACCACTAAATCTGAAAATGCAAGGAAAGAAAGCAGTTACTACTCCCCGAAGTGAGTAGCTGTATGAAGAGGGCCATCAAACAAGAGCTGAGTCTTTGGTAAAAGGAAAAATCCAACTTATGGTGCTTAGAAAGAAGGGAACAGAAAGAATAAATACTCCAACTTTACTGTGTTTCAGCCTCCCTTCTTGTGCCTTCCATTTACTGACTTCTGTTCATATAAGTCAACTAACTCTTGGATACCAATGAGCTAAGGAGTCCTTTTATACAATCAACAGAAGTAAGAAGTCAGTATCTTGAGGGGCAGAGCAGGATGAAGAAAGGTGGATGGAGACTGATCCAGAGGAGCAAACGGAAAATATCTAGCCTATACTAATTATTCCAAGAGTAAAGCATTGCTAATGATTTTAGAAAAACATTTTGCTTTTACACAGACTCATAAACATACACTAAAACATTTTTTTAAAGGTAATACCTAAACTAACTTTCTTTCTTTCTTTCTTTCTTTCTTTCTTTCTTTCTTTCTTTCTTTCTTTCCTAAACTTTTCTTACTTACTATCTAGTAAATATTTCTATGGTTTTCATCATGGACCGTTTTTCAAATTTTGAATAATGAGCTAGTTTTAGAAAAAGCAAAGAAATAAAAACAAAACCACAAAGCCAAACCTATGCCATAGCATCAGCTTCTGGTGGGGGTGGTTGGCAACGGCGGGGGAGTGGGGTGGGAAGGTTGACCAGCAGAGGTATAATCCCTGAGCCCATGAGTAGATCATCAAAGCACTTGCTTCTTTAATAAAACATCAAAGGCTGCTGCATGCTGTTGGGTATTTCTGAGACTAAAACTAAGGTGAACTATAAGTGCTTCACAGCAGAAAATAGGGGAGTAAATATTTTCTGAATCCTTGGATTCTTCCTGGCAAAACTTTCCCACTAATTTTCTAAATATCCATTTCTAGGTTTCCTACATTGTAGAAAAATCTATAAGGCCCGGGAGTTCAGATTTTCTTATCTGTTTCTTGAGAAGTATTTGCCAAGTATTTAACTAGGCTCTCACCAATACCTTCCCAATGCCTATGGGAAGTGGGCCTTATGGGTAGCTAGAGGAGGAAGAGACAGCATCTCTCTTCTTACCATTAAAGCTGAAGTTTAGGCTCTAATCCCTCGATAAGGTGATTGCTAGCAAAAGCACGTGCATGCCAAGATGGGTATCAGTGCTAAGAACCTCCTTAGGCTCCACGTCCATCTTAAGATAGTGTCTCTGTCAGATTTTAACACAGCTACACAACACATATTCATGACATATGGTAGAAAGCGAATGGTGAAACTGAAGTGTCCACGTCCACAGTCTGGGGCCAACATTGACTATCCGTAAAATTGGGGGAAAATTGCTGAATTTCTTCAAACTTCTGTTTTGTCATCCGTAAAATAAGAAGAACACCATTGCCTAATTGGCTTTCTGGCAAGGAATATTTGAAATAATATGCATATACTTACCTGGCAGGGGAGATACCATGATCACGAAGGTGGTCTTCCCAGGGCGAGGCTTATCCATTGCACTCCGGATGTGCTGACCCCTGCGATTTCCCCAAATGTGGGAAACTCGACTGCATAATTTGTGGTAGTGGGGGACTGCGTTCGTGCTTTCCCCTGGAAAAAAAAAAGAAATAATATGCATAAAATACATATCATGGGGTACACAGTTAAAATGGGAGCTGCTAGAAGATTCTAGGAAGAGAATGGCTCGACTTTTTTTCAAGATTCCCTCTCCAATGCAAAATCAATTAATAGCTATCTTTTCTTAAAAAAATTTTTTTTTTAATGTTTATTCATTTTTGAGAAGGAGCATGAGTGGGGGACAGGAAGAGAGAGAGGAAGACACAGAATCCGAAGCAGGCTCCAGGCTCTGACATGTCAGCACAGAGCCTGACATAGGGCTTGAACTCACTGACTGCTAGATCATGACCTGAGCTGAAGTCAGATGCTTAAGTGACTGAGCCACCCAGGAGCACCAATAGCTATCTTTTCTGAGTTGAGAATCTGCTAAGGCCAGCAGGAAAGCCAGTCCTGAAGGTGCAAGAGGGTCCTCAGAGTCTGTGAGTTCCAGGAAGAAAACTAGGAAGAAAAAAATTGACAGAGCCTGGGAATCAGCAGTAAAGTACAAAGATCAGAATATTAAAAATATGGAGAAGAGGTGGCCTGCAGAGATTCATATATCCAGATGGGAAGGGCAAGGCTGGCTTTGATGACTGTTCTCAGGGGAAGACCCACAGGTTCCCTTATTCACTGACATTGACCTCTTTGCATATAGTCCTTCTTTGCTATAAGCCTATCAAAACACTGCTTCCTTTAAATGTCCCTGTAACTCCTCTTTCTGCCTAATTCTATAATCACTCTAGTTTTTCTTTTGTTTGGTCAGACCTAACAGTTCTTTTGTGTGTGTGGCATTCTTCCTTGCAACAAACAATAATCCTGGCTTTGTTGGTCTAAAGGTTCATGCAGGTAATCTGTGGCTTACTGGGGTAAAAGAAATCTGAGAGATGAGTAGCTTTCTCCTGGTGCCTCAGGAGAGAGTGCCAACCTGTAAAAGCAGAGGGTCAGATAATGTTTTATCTCCTACAATTTATGGAACTTCCACTCTATAACATCTCCCAGAAATTATAACTAAGTCTCAGAGTAGTAGTAAAAAAAAAAAAAAAAAAAAAAAAAAAAAAAAGTAACATGGCTTGCAAGGAGAAGTAGAAAGTAGAAAATGGGAAGCTCCTAGATAATCAGACATAAGGGGACACAGGCAACACATTAAGCAATAGAGTAGCAATCTAATAATATACTCATTTAATAGGAGTTGATTTGAAACAAAAGCCATTTTGTCAATTAGTTGAATAATTTTAAAACTGAAAGAGTCAGCAAATAGACTAAGAATTATGGACACTGATGAGACCAAAATTAGCCTCCTAGAAAATTACATATTTAAAAAAAAAGCAAAATACAGAGTAAAACTACAGAACAATGGAAATAAAGAAAGAAAAGATAGGAGACACGAGGATATGTTCAGGAGTCCTTGTAGATGTATTTCAGATGGGAAACATGAATAGATGAAAGACAGGAAAAAAATAAACGAATACTAAGGGAAACTTTCTTCTCTTGAGGCTTCAGGTTGCAAATAATCACTAAGTTCCTTTTAACATTGATAAAAAAGTGTCCTTGCCTGGGCATATTCTCATAACATTGCTAAATGCTAAGGATAACTTTTTCGTTGTTGTTAAGTACATAATTTTGCAGACTTAGAGACAGGTTCCTTAGTAAATAAAAATAATCAGACCAATTACAGACTTCTTTTCTACCACCTTGTAAGTCAATGAATTTGTAATAACACCTGCAGAGTACAGAGTAGTGAGGCTACAATCAAAGAATACTGCAGTAAGCCAGGGTATAATTTATCTATTAGGGAGACTGAGAGACATTTGAGGCACTGAAAGAATGAGAGAATGTATCACTAACATTTCCAATCTGTGGTTTCCTTGAGATAAAACTCTAGAAAAAGAAAAAAAAAAATCGAAATAGTGACCTCTAGATAGGAGGACTCTAAAAGGAGAGGAAATGGTGATAAGAACAAATCTTAAAAAGTATAGTTAAATATAAAAAGATGCTGAAGAGTGACTGTGACTATGTAATTTAGGTGTTAAATAAGCAATCTGTTAACATAGCAGAACACACTGTAGGGAAATCCTAACAGGCTAAAGTAGATGTTACTAGCATGTTCTAGGAATTTGTGACTGAGGATTGGGATGATGAGGTGGAAGAAAAGCATCTAAAAATCTCACAGTGATAGATGTGAAAAAGTGAGAAACTTGTTTTAAAAGTTTCATTTTGGGGACAGGGTAGTGAGGAAATATAGAGTATTTAGTTCAAAGAAATAATTGAAATATTTCTTTATAGGGGCGCCTGGGTGGCGCAGTCGGTTGGCGTCCGACTTCAGCCAGGTCACGATCTCGCGGTCCATGAGTTCGAGCCCTGCATCGGGCTCTGGGCTGATGGCTCAGAGCCTGGAGCCTGTTTCCGATTCTGTGTCTCCCTCTCTCTCTGCCCCTCCCCCATTCATGCTCTGTCTCTCTCTGTCCCAAAAATAAATAAACGTTGAAAAAAATTAAAAAAAAAAGAAATATTTCTTTATACAATATTTCTTTACATAGAATAGAACCACATGTGTGATTATCGAATTTGGGAACAGTGGGTAAGCAATAATAGAATGAAGTGGTATGAAATCCCCACATTGACAGGGCAAAGAGGAAGATCAATAGTAACCCATTCTAACCAGAAAAAAAGAATTGGAAAGGAGAAAAGAGCAAAGTAAAATTCATAATAGATATAATTGAAGGTAGGAGAAATAAGCTGAAATGTTTTTATACAGGAAATGTGATTGGAGCAAATTCTCCAACCATAAATGGGACACTGTTGAGTGGGTTACCAAACAAACAAAGACACACATCAAAAAACACTGTTATATGCTATCCCCCAAAGCTTATTTCAATTGTTAAAAAAGAAGCTTTATATAAAACTGCATTTGATTACACAGTGGTGTACTAAAAGAGACCCTAAAATCCAAACAAAAATATAAATGGAAAAATCAACATAAATATTAGTTAACAAAAATCAAAGTTTAAAAGCATAAAAAGTGGCAAGGTATGAGTAAGGAGGAATTGCACATAATAATCAAAGCCACAATTAACTAGGAAAGGATTATAGTCCTATTACTCTATATATCAAACAAATCTATAATACAAAACAATGGAATTCAAGAAGAAATTGATGAAATTAACATTATGAGGTACATTTTAAATAAACCTCTTTCAGAACACATAGATATAATAAAAACAGGTAAAATTGTATTTATTTTACATATTTTGATGAGTAACTTTAAAATTTGTAAAAATTGGCATGTGTTGGTTGCCAATAACATGCAGAAAGTGTTAAAAGGCAGATTGTGCAGGCCAGTTTCTCATCTTAAGAAGATAATAAAATTGTAGCAAAAGTAGTTACTAATTAGAATATAAGAAACATTCTTAAATGGCATAGGATCAAAGATAAAATCAAAACAAATTATAAGCTATCTTGAAACTAATGAAAAGTACATGCTTAATAAAAAAATCCTATGAAAAGGTGAAATTTGTCACCTAGAAAATTTATAGCGGTAAATGCCTGCATTATTAAATATGAAAGTCTAAAAATAAATGACTTTAGTGCTCTTTTAAGAAACTTGAAAATGACAGCATTATAAACCAGAGCTAAGTAAAAATAATTAATTGTTAGAAAGAAAATCTGAAATTAATGAAATGGAAAAATAAATTAGTGGCTACACCCCTTCTGTGTCTTCACTGGAGAGCCTACTCATCTTCTTTCCACAGTATGCTGTTTTTGTAAAATCTGACCTTGTTGGAGAATCTTGAAAATGAAGTTAGGGGCAACTTGAATTCATTGAGCTTTAGCAAACCATTAAGGTCTAAGAGATGTTATGGCATTAATGGACTGAATATTTTTTCTTGCATTTATAATGTTTATTAGAACTGTAGGCTAAGATGTTATGCTGAAGAGACAGCTACATTCTGTCTCTGATAACAGAATTAGTATGAACTTCTAGTGCAAATTATTTAATGTGAAACATAAGCAGGCCTTTCTAGATTACTTGATCCAAATTTTGTTCTTCCTATCTGCAATTTGGAGAAGACTTCAGGACTGGGTAGGGAACTGTAAGGGGGTCTTATTCTTGATGAGTTCATGTGATGTGTGTGTGTGTGTGTGTGTGTGTGTGTGTGTGTGTGTGTGTGGCTTTGAACTGTAGCAATTGTGCCTAGAAACTCACACTTAGCAAGCATGTGTGGCGCTGAGATGATAATTCAATTGATTTACTTAATGGAAAAGGAGAAATGGAAGCCCCTCTTATAAAGTGTATACCTAGAGCTAAATGCCCAAAGTAGGTGGCCAAAAAGGGTTGTGCCTACAAATCTGTCTCTGGGAATCATATTTTCTCAGGGCTTTTAACAGACAATATGTAGGATATTGGAAAACTTGGATTAATTTTATTTCAGAGTAAAAGCACTGTATGATGGAAAGTAAAATAAAGAAAAACCAACTGACAAAGGCAAAGGAAAAGGAGAATTCCTTAAAATTTGAGATGTTAGAAACCAAGCTAATGATATATGAAAGGGAAATATGAATCCTATAGTCCAGAATAGATAGACATTGAGAAGGAAGGAAAAAGAAAATGTGTTCAGACATGAAAAGGGAAGACCAAAATAGTATTAGTGTGAACAATCAAATCAATATTAGATGGGATTCTATGTAACATGGTTATTATAGATTGAAATTTAGCAATTGTCTCCCCTTTAGGCAACACACTCAAGAAAGTTACAGAATGAGGACATTAAGGAAAGTTCACAACACACTGGAAATATATCAAAGTAGATCTAGTGAGTCCAGTTTTAGAGTTGGTGTGGGAACTCATCAGGATAGTGTTATCCAAATTGGGGAGATGAAGAATGGCATGATTTGTTTGAACAGAATTCACTGATTTTGCATATCTTACTGTGAGAGACTAGAGATTTCAAAATCTAAGGGATTATTTAAAAAACAAACTTCTGATACAAAAACCAAGGGCAAACT